TTTCTAGCATCTACTATCTGTGTCAGCCACTGCCTAATGTGAAGGCACACCCCTTCGTGCCGAGGTTCAGTGTCTGATCATTGTCCACCTTTCCTGTTCCTCCCAGCAAGAACATGCTTTGCTAACTGCAAGTATAAGGGCCCCATGTAAAAGAGACTGGCACACTTACTGGCTGTGGCAAGGGACCTATGCGGTGCCCTGCTCTTTCCTCCCACATTTTATTACCACTGCTCCTTTCTAGCATCTAGCATCTTTGTCAGCCACTGCCCAATGTGAAGGCACACCCCTTCGTGCTGAGGTTCAGTGTCTGATCATTGTCCACCTTGCCTGTTCCTCCTAGCAAGAACATGCTTTGCTAACTGCAAGAATAAGGGCCCCATGTAAAAGAGACTGGTACACTTACTGGCTGTGGCAAGGTATCAAATGAAGAAATGGGACTGGACCCAAGAAACTGGACTGGGCTGACCGCTGTAGCTATGGAATTTTCTAAGTCAAGTAGGAGAAACAGCGGGCAGATGCATTTACTGCGAGAGTCTCCCAGAGTGAGCATAGGTACCAAGATCAACTGCATTTGGGCTTGGATTTGGTGTGGAAACTGCAACAGCTTTTGCATATTTCGTTCTATTCACAATGGCTTCCCCTCCCCATATTCCAGGAAACGGCCTTCCTTTTTCTCAATAAACTCTTGGCTCACTGCAATTCGGCATGAAGTTCACTATGGTTAATTGGTTGTGACTTAGATGAATTAATCAACTTGTGGTAGGGGGAGGGGAACATTCAATCTCTTAAAAGGTCAGGGCTTTCATCTAATTTTCTTAACATGCCTAACCTCAGAAGGCCTTGCCTTTCTATTGTTCCCTGGGGAACAGAGGCAATGTAATAAAAGCCTGAATGCAGGATTGCTTGCGGCTTGAAGAAAGTTCAGGGTCAATAACATGGATGCGCCAAGGAAAGCAAGTGAGAGAAAGTCTCCTTGTCGCAGTGCAAGGGACCAACCAGCCTGAACTGGGACAGGATACCATAGTAAATGCTCTGTAATGTAAGCAGTGGCGTATTTATATGTAGTTCATGCTGAGTAACTGCTGCCAGCGAAAGGGACTTCTGGGCAACATATTCTACTTATCTGTGCCTCCGTGCCAGTTACTGCTGCCCAGCAGTTGTCCTGTTCCCTTTAGGTACAAATACCAGAAAGATAGGGCAGTTCAACCAAGTGCTGGCGTCACCAAATGGCAGCATATGTTTAGTTCTTCACCGTTTTTTTTAAAGGTTTGTTTGTTTTACTGCCAAGGATGGAGAGAAGCGCTTGCTAGATTTCTCACTTCAGGTGCCTAAAATAACTGGATTTGCTTTGGACGCCTTGCATTTTGACTTGGTTGAATATGGGCAGGCAAGGGGAGGGGAGAGTAGGGGCAGGTGTCATTTGTTGCTGTACCTCAGTCTACAGTATGTTTTAGGTTGACCCTGGAGCATATGAATGGGCAGTGACCAGGAGACAAGAGTTGAAGCAGCAGGGACCAGGTGGGCCCTGTCAGTTGTCATAGAGCCCTTTACTGAGACATAGGCCTTGCAGAACAATCAAGTTGAAGCAGCAGGGACCAGGTGGGCCCTTTACTGAGGCATAGGCCTTGCAGAACAATCGACAATGCCAGTTGCTGACAAAACTCCTCAAATGGAGGGAACAGCTCTCGCCTTGATTCTATGACAGCCTTTGTTGTTGTTGTTGTTGTTATCTAGAAAGATACAGTGGAAATTCTCTAGTGTACAGATTATGCCCTTGGCCACCACGAACTTCCCACATGAGAACAGACACCCTGTGAAACCATTTGAAGAACCCGTATCATGCCAACAAGCCTTAAAGCTTGCTTTTTACACTGGTTCTGGATTCTGACTTTTATTTGGAAGTCTTGATTCCTGTTGGAATTTCCCCTTTCAGTAAGCTCTTTTACATTTCACATGCGTCCTTAGCAACGTTTCACTGCTGCAGGTTGTAACGCTTTTCTTTCAAAAGATAATTAAATTCCACAGAGGTAGCCATGTTAGTGTACCCACTGTGGTGTAATAGGACTCAGGACACCTGGATTTGATTCCCTGCCTCTGCCATGGAAACTCGCTGAGTGTGTGTGTGTCAGGGGGGAATTGATAAAAAAATAACTTCTTAAAAACCTCACTAGCTTTGAAACCCTGTTAGACTTGCTGTAAGCCAGTTCTGACTTCCTGGCACATGACAACAAAGGCATGTTAGAAAGCTGCAGCCAAAAGAGGCTATGTGCTATCTTATTTATTTTATTTTATTTGTATCCCGCTCCTGTTAGTGTCACAGCACTACTCTGGGCAGGTAACAGCTCGTAAAACAGAAAAGAGAAATAAAAATAGAAACGTTAAAAAACAATTGCAATAACTCTTTAAAAAAACCCAACAACAATCAGCCAGCACTCCCGAAGCAGAAACGATCCACGCTCCTGCTTCGGGTGTTTCGTTTCCCTGAGATTGCTCCGTTGAACAGCATCTGCAAACATAGGTGCACCTGAGAGAACTTCTCATTCCTCCAGTGAAGTCCGTTCCGGGATTCCGACTCCATTATCTAAATTGGCCAACCTTCGTGATGCTTCTAGGCCCAAGCGCAGCAAGTCCAACCGCCATGCAAGCATGACAGGAACAGAAGGTGAGCCTGGGGTCTGCACGGACATTAACTGACAGGCCCATTGAAAGCACTCTGCGTGTTCTGGTCCTCAGAAAACTGACCTTAAAAACTGACACATTAGTTTATAGACTTACATCCATGAAAAGGGATATGCACCCTAAGCAACACTGTAACTAAACAAGGCAATGCTTTGCTTTAAATCGGTCTTTCTACCTTTTTGTGTATTCATCTATCTCATTTTCTCTCTGGTTTTGATGAAATGGGTTTGGCCTCGCAAAAGCTTACGCCGCAATATATTTCATGGCCTTGTAGGTGCCAAGAAGTCTGAATTATTAAAGAATAGTAGTACTGTTTGTCTTTTATTTATGAATTTATAAATAAAATCATACAAAATTTAGTCTGGTCAAAGCAACTGAGTTGGAAACATTCCTGTGTCTGCTGCCACACAGTGGTGAACAATTGTTATGTCAAGAAGTGTGGAAAATTAACAGACAAAAGAAAAAGTCCTGAGTAAGAAATGTCAGAGAGCTGCATTAATGGGGAAAAGTAGAATTGTGTGAGGCCCTTAAAGCTTGACCGTACCTTCCCAGCATATGGTAACAATGTGGAGAATCCCTCAACTATAATAAGTGCAATTTGCTCAGCTATTCAAGCAACCAAACTGGCTGGATAGCTGAGTGGTTTAGGGAACTGGCTATGGAGCCGGAGGTTGGAAGTTGAATTCCCCACTGTACCTCCTGGGAAATTATTGAACAGCATTTATGACTCACTCCCATGGGCCCAAGCATACATCTATGGATACCAAGTCTTGCAGCTGTTCTTGTTCCTCTTCTGGTGGAGATCGTGCCGTTTCTTCAAAAGCATCCAATAATGGTGGCAGTGGTGAAATTATTTGATATTGGACCTCTTTTTCTGTGATTCAAATCATTCAGAAAACCAAGAATTCTGTATCACAATCAGCACTATTTTATAAAAAGTTAACAGATGAACTCCTCAAAAAGACCCACCAATTATTTCTTCCCTTTATTTCGACATGATAATGGAGGAAGTTACTTTTCAGATATAAAGATTAATGGCCATTTTGATGAAAGCCAGGAGACAGGTGCTGATTGTACTTTTTCTGTAGAATCCTAAACTCCCTTGGAAGCTGGAAATTGAGACAACGATGATGATCAATAGTGCAGTCCACAAACACGAACCGTGTACTTTAAATGAAATTTGGTAACATGGTAACACACTATGACTTCAACAGAGGGTTGGATTCGATGTAGCACAGGCCCCTTCCAAGGATTCTACCATATGATTCTGTGACTTCCCATATCTTTGAGGAAGCCATTTTTATTTTATTTTTGCAGAGAAAATGCCAGAACCCATTAAAGTGCTTCTAATCTAGACAGTTACTCCTTTCTTTAAAATCTTCAAGGACAAGCTAATTGCTAGAACATTGGGTTGTGAGGGGCTACTGTTGATCACTTCCGATCTCAAAGTGGTATAAAAACCCCAGGCTGAGAGCCCATGTGCTTTCAAATTCCTTCTCTTGTCCTTTGGTGTTGTACAGTATTAGAGGACTGCTGTGAGGATTATGGAGATAACATTTGTGAAGCACTCTTGAATGTTCTAGACACCAGTATGTGAGTGTTGCCACTTCTTATATTCTCATGACTCAGGCACATTTTCTTTGTCTAAAAACACCAAACAAAGCTATTTAAGCAATATGTTGGGGTTAGGGATATTTGAGTTGCACTTGCTAATCATTTGGGGGGGGGGGAATTATCCTCAGATATGCTTACAAATCTCAGGGTGCTCAGTCTTGTCATTTTATTCAAACTATGGAGCTCCATAGAATTTAACAGGGCTACTTTGAGAAAAAGGTTGTTTGCTGATAGCTTGCTCAGCATTACTGTTCTTCCCTTGCATTATGCAGCTGCGGGGAAGTACTAGGTGTGTTCTTGGTTGGTTTGCAGGCTTCAACGGTGAAGCCCCAAACACTTTGCTCATGTCCCACATAACCAAAGTGTAAGCTCTAACACACCTCCCTGGTAGACTGTTCAAAAACCAATAAAAAAACCTAATGTGTCTATTTTCTTCAGCAACCAGTAACCTTCCTTGAACACTTGACTCCATCAAGCCACCTATCTTTCAAATGCTTGTCCAAAAGAGAAACTGGCGCCAGACAAACTGTAGCATAAGCATCTATAATGGAGAATTTTTGTTCATATTCTACAGTGACCTGCATAAATGAAAGGAAAATAAGACTGTATCTGATCTCTGGTAGTGGAATATATTGACGCTTTTAATAGATCGTGAAACCTTAAGTTTGAAAAAACCAATGAAAGACACACAGAGGAAGCAGAGGCAGTTTCCTTATTAGCTATGTTTATTATGCCGCGGCTGAAGCCGCTCTGTACAGAAGCACCCAGCTGCTTTAAAGCTACTTGGTTTACACTGGATTTTTTTTAAAAAAAGTTTTAAAATGAGCTAGAAATGGTCCTTCTATGGCAGAAGGGGTTACTGGCAGTGCCTTTCCCCCACTACACTACACAGCATGGGAAGGGAGGGAGGAGCAGAAAGCCGCAGTCCCCACTGGACCAAGGCCCTGCCTGGCCACTGCTCCCACCAGCAGTATTTACAGCCAGGAATAGCTGGAATGTACAGGGTGCGAGGAGACAAGTAGGTAGTTGAACGCTGGGGGCCAAAAGTCTTAAGGAGGAGAATCCAAGGGAGGCTTTTGTGTTATTTTGGTACTTTTTATGCCAAAGTGAAACTCACAGCATCTGTGGCTGCTCCGAAGATCCCACTGTACCACAGGGGCAAGAAATTCACCATGCAGGAAGATATAAGCCAGAGGTACAGCCTTGGGAAAGGTGGAAGGGATTTCAGCTGGGATCAGGCATAAAATCACAGTGAGTGGCTCAGAAAACTCTGTGGAGACGGGGAAATCCCCATGACCATGGCTAGCATGAGCAGAGGCAACTTGTGAATTCAACAGGATCCATCCTGGGCAGGGGGTGGAGATGCTCAGGGAATGCTGAAGAACTTAAGATGAATAAATTAACCTGGAATGTCGTGAAGTGCCATGTTTGAAGGATGGAAGCTGTGGGGCTTAGTCCTCTGCCTGACAGGGTCAGGACTGGAGCTCAACCCTCTGCATAGCAATGCCAATCTGGACTAACACTGCGTACCCAGTACACAAATACAGTGAGCAGAATCCCGCCCCAACATGGTGGGAAGAGAGGTGGAAGCTCGACCCAAGAGGCAGTGCTAAGCAGGGCGTGGGGAGAAAGGGGTGAACGGTTTCCGCTCTATCCCTCATAGCTGAAGGTCCACAAGGAAAAGAGTGGCACAGTAGGGGCTGACGCTGTGAATACTGTACCTTGTAAAAATAAAGCATCTGGAGTAAAAGGCAGCGTTCATACAAAAAGAGTTAATGTTTATTTCTTTAAAAAAAAAACACCCTCCCTGGAAACCTGGTTGCCGTGGCAACAGAGGAAGGGTTGGAGAGCCAGTCTGGGCTATGTGGCAGTAAGGGATTGGGGAGGCCTTTCCTTTCCTTTCCCAGATCAGGCTTTCTTAATTTTTTTTTAAAATCTTTTTACACTTGAGTTTTTTTTTCTTATAAAAAACACAATTAGGGTAAAACAACAGGACCCCAATGGGGGCCACAGAGGGCCACAGCCCTCTGGGATCTCTTCCACAGTCCAGCATCTCATGCAAATACTTGCATTTTGGCAGACTGCTCCGCCGAAGGAAGCTGGGTGTGGCTTGGCCCCAATACAGTCGGGCTTGGTGTGGATTCAGACCAGTCAGACAAGGAGTGTGGGGAAGGGCTGCTCCATTGCTCTGGGGACTCTGGGGAGGGAGTCAGGTAGGGGTGTTCATTTGGTGGGTGGAGGAAGTGCTTGGGTGTTGCGTCCTGCCCCTGCGTGTAGCTATGTTGAGAGGGTGGGGTTGGGTAATCTTCCACTCCTGCTGGTTTTAAATACTGTGGGGGCCCGGCACGGGGTGCCCCTTGGCCTTGGCCCTCTTGGGGTGAGACAGGTGGGTTGGCACGCATAGTGGTTGCTGGCGGCGGCATCGCCTGGGTTGTCTCCTTGCTCTGTGCAGGAGCTGGGTTGGGCAACCCCTGGGAGCCATGCCCCATGGCCATGTGGTTAGGCAAGAGCAACCCTGGTGGGAAAGCTTGACCAGGCTGGTGCAGGTTAGGGTGGGAGGCAGCAGGGTGCACGACTCCTATGATTGGCTGGCACTGGGAGGTGGGAACACGGGCATGCCAATCAAAGGGCATAGCCACAGGGCTCACCATGCCCAGACTAAGCCCCATACGGCCAGGTGGCACTGAGAGGCGGTTCATCGAGAGAAGAGTGCCGTCCCCTAGGTCACTGAGGCGTGCCAAGCTGACAGCAAAGGGAGCTTCCATCATGCCATGGACCATGGGAGTGGAGGGTACTGACAGTGAGGCACTAGCTGCATGAAAGACCCCTGGTGAGGCTGGGTTGGGCACATAGGGGGAGTCCAGTGAGTCAACAGGAGACAAGGTGACCGAACTCTCCAGGAGAGCACCTTGGCACTCCAAGTTGAGCTTCTTGGCACGTGCCTTAGCCTCTTTGCTCTCCCGTGCCAGGCTGGCACTGCTGCCTGATGTCACATTCTTGGTGCTAGGCCGACGGCTCTTCTTCCCCTGCGGAGTGGGCTTGAGGCTGGGCAAGTAGCTATTAGGAGGGCACATGAGAGGGGAAAGGGAGTGACCAGCAGGTAATCCCCCCTGAGGACTGCGCACTGTGTTGTAGTCATCCAGAAGTCGCACAATGTCATGATGCAGCCGTTCCTGAGCCACATCTCGCGGCAGGCGATCCATGTGGTCTGTGATCTCACGATTGGCAAAGTGGTCCAGCAGGATTTTGGCCGCCTCATAACTGCCCTCCCGGGCTGCCAGGAACAACGGTGTCTCCTCCTACCACAGAGAAGACAGGTTGATAGATACATATGACAAGTGCTCTAAACAGGGGAGCGAGCAGGTGATTGTACAGAGTTTCCTGTTTCTTCACACGCCTCCCAACTACACACTCATACATGCACACAGGCTATCAAGGCTAACTAGACAACCTTTTTAAGTCTGAAAAGAACTCTTCCTTTAGGACCCTGACAATTGAGGGCACCAGATCTTAAGAGAAAAACCAAACATCATCAAGAACTTACTTTGCTGTCCTGCATATCTTTGTTAGCTCCATTCTTCAGCAGTGCAATGGTAGCCTCTACATTGTTGACAGCTGCTGCCCAGTGCAGGGCTGATTTACCTGGGAGAGGGCACAATGCGAATTTGTCACAATGCTTTGTCAGAATCCACCAGAAAACGTATGTTACAGCAGCCCTTCTAATGCTCCTTGATGTTATGCTACTATCTTTCTTAACAACATCACATAACTCTTGACCCTGAACTTTCTGTAGACTTGTGACTCTTCTAAAAGGACTGGCCCATATACTGCTTTGTTACAGAAATAACTGTCAGAAACAGATTCGGATTCAAGCAACTATCCAGGCTAAAGAATCATCAAGTCATCTCCACAAAGATTTTCTGATAAGGTCTTCTGTGTAGCAATTTGCACTTCACCCAGTCCAGTACCACATCAAGTGAGCTTTGGGGAGGAGGGAGAAGAGCACAAGTCAGGAAAAGAGTTAAATACATTCTTGCTGGTTCAGGAATGCCCAGAATAAAAAGAAGCAAAAAATGGAAGGGAAGGAAAAGAAGCATGTTTATACTTGAGATGCATTTGTGATGTAAAAGCAATCTGCCATACATGTGAAAAATCTACACTGTTGCAAATTTAGTTATGAAAGGGGTCTTATGGAAACTAATGTGACAAATGTTACTGGTGAACAACAAAGTAAATGAGTTAAAATCTCAGTGCTATCCAGGTTCTGGGATAAGCCAATTTGCTGCCAGTTTCATACCCATCTCATCCACAGCGTTGACATCAGCATGACAGGCAATCAATTCCTCTACCATGCCCTCCACAGCCAGTCTGGCTGCCAGGATCAGTGCAGTCGAACCATCCCCCATTCGGGCATCCAAATCTGTAGATCGATTCCGGATCAGGATCTGTCAACAGTAATGAGGCGTTAGGTAGCACAGCGATATTGTGGAGAATTCTCTTGTCCTTAGCTACTCTGGCAACGGGAAGTGCCACTCCGGCTAACTTTCAGTAAGGCCCCAAAGAGATAATGAGTTGATAACACAGGATCGACTCTTAGGTAGTAACAGTCCCTGTGACTCTTCACTGAGAGTGCACAGTGGAGATGCCATTAATATAAGTCAATAGATTCTATCAGTAAGGTGAGTACATCTCAAGAAAACCAAAAGGTCACGAGTGGTCCATGGGTGGGGGGAGGGAGGGAGGGAAGAGAAAAACTATATGGCAAGAAGACTCACTTGGAAGACCCCCTGGGCATCCGCAGTCACTGCAGCATGAAGCGGGGTACGTCCGGTGTTGTCCTGTGCATTAGTGTCAGCGCCAGCATCTAGCAGGCGCTTGGCGGCATCTGCCCGTGCATATCGGGCAGCCAGGTGCAGTGCAGTCTCCCCTGTGCGGTCTGTCTGGGCACTCAGGTTAGCTCCCTGGCAGATCAAATCTGAAATGATGTTGGCTGAGGAATCATCTGCTTCCTCTTCCTCTGCCAGATCAGTCTCCATGCCACCACCGCAAAAGGAAGCCAGCATAAGGGGAGTGAAACCATCTATAAGGAAATCCCAACAAGGGAATTTTCGTTAGAAGTCATAATAAAGGTTGCTCTGCTTCTTCTCTCGCAGTGCATTATACATTTAAATGAGAAGAAAGCATGCAGTTATGCTGCATGAGAAAGGAAGACACAGACTAATTCTGTTCATCAGGCATAGGCAAGGACTCTGTACAAGTAGCTTGAAGCAGGCATACCACACCCTTCTTTTCTAAGTTACCTGGTCCTCGGACATTGACATCCATGCAGTCAGTATCAAATTCACCCTGGGGTGGTGTCAGAGCCATAGATGGGGGCATGCGGATGTCTGCTGCCACCAAATGGTGTTGGGTCCACTGGCGGCAATCCACTGGGTCTTCGCAGTCGACGGCTGGCTCTTCCACCTGGCAAGGAAGAACACAGGGCTGTAACTTAGGGGCCATTTGCCCCTATTCATCTGCTCCATGAAACAGCGTAAATACTGGTTGCAGCGTCCTATACTGGGATCGACTCAATGAGCCAGACGCCGCCTTTTAAAAAGAGCCACCCAAACATACAAATGCCAATGCCAGGACTTGAACACAAGGACGGGATCAGGGAAGGCCAGAGGCAGCTCCAAAGAGAAACTGGAGTCCCTTTGCCTACACTTCTAGAGTCTGCAAGAAGTCCAAAAAGGAGCAGGTAATACCTTTAACCGCTTGGCCTCTGGGCACTCTGCTTCCAGCCAGTCTTCTGAGCTGTCTGGTATCAGGCTTTCCCCTTTGCCAATACTCCTGCAGGAAGGAAACAAAAATAGGGTTAGCGCAGGGCAGATGCTGAACTAGCTGGTTTTCAGCATCTTCCTCTCTTTCTCTCAGCTACCGACATTCTTAACAGGAAAGTTCTCCGCTAGCTAAGTGATGTACTGCTGGCAGTGCAATGCAATCAGAGAAAACTACCAGTGACTGTTCACTGCAGCAGTTGTGAAACACCAGTTGTTAAAGCCTCCTTGTATCTAAGACCCCATCTGGTAGCCACAGGCAAGAGGGAATATAGTGAAGATTAATGAGCAGACTAGAGAAGCAGAAGTGGATTGCACATGTTTGCAATGTTAGCTGCAGATAAAGAGAAGGTTTTTCTTCTTCTTCACAGCCAGCAGAGGAACACAGCAAGAAAGGGAACCAAGGGACCTATTCCTCTTCTTCCAGTCTAATTGACAGCGATCACTCTGGGTTTTTAACTAGCCTGTGCTATCCTGCTGCTGATGCTGAGAAGAGGGTTTCTCCTCCTCCAAGGCCAGCACAGAAAAGCAAATGACAAGCATTTGAGCAAGCAACCCATCTTTTACATTTTCACTGGCGAGTAACTTGTAGGACCGTATGCTGCAAGTTATAGCTACTGAAACTGGGGACTGCTTTGGAGCAGCAGACGAGTGGACGAGAGCCACTTACTTCATGCCGAGGGCATCCTGGCCCACAGGTTCGCGCCGGTTCTTGTTGCTGCTCTCTTTCTTCAGACTGAAACCTTCAGGAAACCAAAGGGTGCTGTGCTCTCTTTTGCGCCGTGCCACTAGCACACCCAGCACCAGGATCACCAGCAGGATCAGGGCTGCTACCACCAGCAGTGGCAACAGCTTCAATGGGCTTTCCTCCAATTTCACACCTGCAGAACCAACACCATGGCATTAGTCGCTTCGTCAGTAACTTGCTATGACTTTCAAACAGGAAAGGAAAAGGAGAACCAAAATCAATGGGCAGATTCTGCTTCCCACACTCTCATGGAGAGCACCCCCCCCCGCCCTACACTCCTCACCTTTCACAGCCTTGAGGGGATACGGAAACTCTAGACGCTCTACGGCCGACAGGGCAGCGAGGTAGTCCGCAGCACTTTCTGCATCAGGGAAGCACTTGTCTGAGGCTTTATAGCAGAGGCGGTTATCAATCTCAAGAGTAACTTCAGATCTGGAGAAACAGATAAAGGGTGATGAGGGCCTGGAGCTCCTTCTCTAGGGACACATGTAATTCCGAGACACCGCAAGTCAACCATCCCTCTAAGAGGTTGGATTTTCCCCATTCAGTCTTCAGCCCAGTAAAAGGCTTTTCCCACTTGAGTTTAGGACAGTCTTTTCTAAGGACACATTACGAATGAGATCACTCTCGCTTTAAGATACAGTATATCAGCACAAGCTTTTAAGAACTCGATGGCATTTTCAAGGGATGATCTCCTGGTACAAGAGGCATGCCAGGTCTCTTCTTTACAATGGTGCACACAAGGCCTTCAATGATTCAGCACCATCTCAGGAACTTGTAAAAATTACAAAATAAGTTACTGCAAAAGTTCCAATAGCCAGCGTCTTCCAGTATTTTGCCTATAGAGGCAGCTGCATATCAGAATCATATTCCTTGGATAATATCACACCGGAGTTGTTCAGAGAATGTCTGGATGAACTTCTATCTAGAAGTGGCAACCTGGGGTAGTTCAGTCCACTGTCTTCACAGGTATCTGAATTGCCTCTTCTTCCCTTCTAGGCCCTTCCTGTACATTCCTCCATATTCTCCAAGCCCACTATCTTCCAGAATACCCTGCAACATACACTGAAGTCAACTACCTCCTTCCAGTTTGGCTCCCCTAAATCACTCACCCAATAATCTCTTGGCCCAATTCCCTGCGACGTCGCCCACCAGTCCCATAATAGGGTCTAATCATATAGTTGCCGTTTTCATCGAGACGGAAACGCAGGGAAGTGCGCAAAATGGCACTCAGTTTCTGCAGGAAGATGGTGCTTGTGCGGAGCAATTCATCAGGGTGTAACAATACTGTGATGACTAAGACACCATCTGCCAAGTGCTCAGGCACTCCCTGGGCACAATCCAGCCCATCCCAGCCACACTCTTCATTGTTACAGCCGTGGTCACATTGTCCATCCGCAAAGTGATCTGAGCAGTATTTTTCATAGACGGGGCTGTGGGAGAAACAGAGAGAATGGTTATCATTTCTGACCAAAGAACTTCGGTGCCAACCCAGGATACAGCTTGCACTGAGACTCAATCCATGTGGAGACATTCACAGAAATATCCAGGTCTGCAGGTTAAGAAATAACCACAGTCCAGAGGACTTATATGCAACACCCCTCGACACAGAAGAAGTATCACCTCATTAGGTTACTCTGGGATGGAAGGTGGTGGCCTCCAACACCAGGGGACTCTGGTATAATATACCCCATTGAAGCCTCCCTCCCCTAATGCATAATGAAAGAACTCACTTGCAAGTGGGGCCGTGATTCCTGCAGTCAAAGTTGTCATAGAGGCACTCCACAGTGTTGCACAACTCATCGCACTGGCTGTTGTTGAAGTACTGCCAGCACTGGGGGCTCTCGCACTGTTTCCAGGGGTCGTCCACCAACAGGGAACAGTCTCCCCCATCCCAGTGGCAGGCTGGACTGTTGCACATTTTGTCACAGTAGGAATCCCCAGCCTTGGCAGCACATTCCTCTAGCGGGCAATGCACCTCAGGGGGCCGAGGGGGATGCATGTGGCGTGGGGTCTGGCAGCGGCTCCCTGAGAAGTCCCCGAGACAAAGACACTGGAAATAAGGTGGGCTGGCAATCTCATGGCAGGCTCCCCCATTGTGGCAGGGCATGCTCGCACAACTGCTGTTGGCCCGCAGGCGGCAGTCAGGTCCACCCCACCCAGGTGGGCAATAACAGCGAGCACCCAGCGCTGAGGATCGGCAGCTGCCTCCATTGAAGCAGAAAAGCTCCCGGCAGGAGATGATGCTGCGCTCACAGTTGATGTCTGTGTAGCCCTGGAAAGGAAGGACAAAGACAGTCAGGACAGAAAAGCCAGCCAAACTCACAAGACTTTTCAAAGGCTAACAAAGGTCTCCCTGCTCCCCCAACCCTCTCCCTACCAAGAAAACCCATTCCTCTAAATAAATCAGGGCCTGATGCTCAAACCATGCTCCCCAAAACATCCTTCTCTTACCCCTGACCCTTCCCTCCTAGGCCTGCCACCACAATCTCCCTTCTCTTAGTTCTATAAGCATTCTGTGCCTTATTGGACCATAGGCAAAGCACTGTACCAAACTTCTCCGGTAGGAACCAGAACCAATCCCCTACTTTTAATAGCAGAATTGTTCCCCACCGCTCTCCAAATGGAAACAGAACTCTAACCCATAATACACTCTCGTTGAAGAATCCCAGACTCCCTTCCTAAAACTCTCAAGAAAAAAAATCCCTTTCTTAGCAGGTACTAAAAATCATTCACATCATGGGTTCAACGTGTCCTTCACTTTACTGTACCCCTCAACTTAACCATCCTTCTACTGATCTTCATCCTACTCCTAGTTGTCACATTGATATAGAGGAGTTGAATTCACAGTTTCTTGGACACAAAGCTGCACCTACCCGGGGACAATGGCAGGAGTATCCTAGAGGCAGGTTTATTGCCAGCTTACACTGCCCACCATTCTGGCAAGGCTGAGATTCACATGCATTCACAATGTTCTTGCAGTGACGGCCTAAGGAGAATAAAGACAGAGGTTATCTGGTGGAGATCCTACAACACAAACTCAAGTAGAAAAGGACTAAGAACACCATTACCTTCCCATATTGGACCCTGCATTTTAGTACTATTTCCCATAGCTGGCATTTGTACATAAATAACCAGAGAGTCTCATGTATTTTGTCATGTCATGTATCATCAAGTTAGAACTGACTTATATTGACCTTAACAGGCTTTCAAGGGGAGATATTTTAAGGAGTGGTTTTTCCACTTCCACACTTCCACTGAGTTGAACCCAGACCTTCTGACTAAGACCTTCTGAGCCTTAGTCTGTCTCTCTCTGTGTCCACTACACCACACCAGCTATCTTATATGGTTGACTTATATGTTTATTCCCCATCTCCACACATCATTGTCAAATCAACTTCAGCTTACACACCCACCCAGATAAACAGTGAGACATCTTTCTTATATCCTCATTTACCTTGAAACCACACACTTAGCGATACACCCAGATTAACATGTACCCATCTGCCTTCACTCTAGCCCCTATTGCTTTCACACTGGATACCTTATCATGAAATTATAATCGCCTCCAGGTGTGATAGGTATCTCATAATTTCTGGCCTCAGAAATACAATTAGAAATACAGTGGTGCCTCGCTTAACGAGTGCCTCGCTCAACAATGAATTCGCATAACGATGGCCTTTGCTGGAAATTTTGCCGCCTCACCTAACGATGTTTCCTATGGGGTATTTTCGCATAACGATGTTTGGGACCTTGCTTCACTTAACGATGACAGTTTTAGGTCCCCTGTTTCGCTTAACGTTTTTTTGACAGCCCTGTTTTCGCTATTTTAAAAATATTCTAAAATGTTTAAAAATGTTTAAAATGCTTGGAATCGTTAGTGCACCTAATAAAACCTTCGTTAAAGTAATTTGGCTTTGTTCTGAGTCTTTTTGAATTTTTGGTGATTTTTTTTCACCATTGAAATGTATTGAATAGGCTCCTATTGGAACGGATTAACCGGTTTTCAATGCATTCCTATGGGAAATGGTGTTTTGCTTAGCGATGTTTTCACATAACGATGTTTTTAATGGAACCAATTAACATCGTTATGCGAGGCACCACTGTACTATTAATATAACATAACACTACACAACCAGGAGATAAAAGAATACGGTGAGCAAGGTTCTAGATTTCAGCAGAAAGGAAGTAACATTGAAAAGGCATGCACTAGCAGTTAAGCATTTATATATAGACAGTCAAGTTAGAAATCCCCTACAGAGCAAAGAATGCTAAGCATCCAATGTGAAAAAATACAACAGGATGTCAGTGAACACTGCTTTTTGCTGTCAGCCATCATTATGAGGAGTGATAGACCACATAAAAAGAGATCTACTATCTGGCTTTTGCAAGGCAGCAAAGGAACTATAATTTATAACACAACTTTGTCTTGGATGCATAAAGAATATTTTAAAAATGTACAACTATCCAGTCATCAGCATAGGACCAGAGAACTCCAGTTAACACACATATATGTCTTTATTCATCTCAGAATGGTTGCATAATTTTTTTTTATTGTTTATGGCTGGCTTAATGGTTTGCCTGTAATCTGTTGCTGCAAAATGCTAGCTTTAGCTCAGAGGTGGGCCCATTAGAGCCCCGGGGCAGCATGTTGCCCACCCGCACTTGGCTTTGTATTCCTTTGCTCTCCTCAACTTTCCTCCTTTTTCTGGCAAATAAGGTAAATTATTGCTTCTGGAAGCATTCAGCAGTTCACGTTTGGGGATCTTTGGGTCTCAGAACACAAAACAGGACCTCAGAGGTAGCAAAGGTGCCCATCCCGCTCTAGAGAAATCAGAAGATGCTATCCATCATGGATAAAAGAAGACGTATTGGCGTTTAAATTTCTAAAGCTAAATAGCCAGTTGGGGAATATTTCCAGAAGTCTCAGGCTTAAGATCTGAAACTGCTAAACAAGGTCTGACTCTTCAGAAACTATGAAGAGAAATGTAAATGTGTTCAAAGCCAAAAAAGAGATGTTGACATTAACTTTCACTCCCCTTGAATAACTTTTCAGTGATTTAGCAGAACTCACACACTGCTTCCTACCCACAGTTCTATCCTTTAGTGGGCTCCTCTGTTCATCAATGTAGCCCAGCCTACACAGTCTTCTTACTCTTTTACTTGCATCACGTTAAGGTAGTTTGCATTCCTACTCACCAGTGTAGCCTGGCTTGCAAATGCACTGGTAGTCACTGGCTTCCTGAACACAGTCAAGTGTGTTGCGTGAGTGGCAGGGGTTGGACTGGCACTCATTGATGTCTCCCTCACAACGCTCGCCTGTAAAGCCTGGCGGGCAACTGCATCGGTAGCCACCCACTTTATCCACACATGTCCCATTGTTGAGACATTTAGGGACACGAACGGTGGGATTTGTGGCACAGTCATCCTCATTTATTTCGCACAATACACCTAGAGAAGAAAAAATTTAAAAAAAATCACACCAAACATCCCAGCACTGGGGAACTCAAATAACCTCTCTGCGCACCTTCAGTTAGCTCCATGAACAAATAAGTGCACCTTTTCTGCACTCCTTGTTGCTCCAGAGTCCAATCAAGTTCAGCTTACCCACTGAACTTGATTGTTTTAGAGCCTCGTGGCACAGTGGTTAAACTGCTGTACTGCAGCCAAAACTGTGCTCACGACCTGGGGTTCAATCCCAGGTAGCCGGCTCAAGGTTGACTCAGCCTTCTATCCTTCTGAGGTGGGTAAAATGAGTACCCCACTCGCTGGGGGGGGGGCAATGTGTAGCCTGCATAATTAACTTGGAAACTGCCCAGAGAGTGCTTGAAGCGCTATGGGGCAGTATATAAGCAGCACACTTTGCTTTTCCAGAAGTGGACAGCCATATGGCCATCCAGATGATGCTGGACTACAATCCCCATCATTAGCTGTCAACCAATGGGAGCTGGAGTTCATCAACATCTGAAGAGTCACAGGTCTCTGCTCTAGAGGGACTAATTCTTTTGCTAGCCTCCTTCAAAAGTGCCTGAGAGAAAAACAGAACCCACATTTTACATCTAGTGCCTTCAAGGAAAATCCAAAGCTCTTCTCTACATTGTTGAAATAGGAACTCAAAATTGTCCCGAAAACTCAAAGTTTTCACCCCTTTGTTCATAGTACCTTTCTTCTAGCAAAATCCTCTGACAGCAAGAACCAGCACTTACCCAGAGTGCCTGGTGGACAGGAACAAATGTAGTGGCCAACAAGGTCAAGGCAGGTCCCTCCATTCTGACATGGGCGCGACTGACACTCATCGATGTTATACTCACAGTTCTTTCCCTCAAACCCCAGTGGACACTGAAGTGAGACAGAAGCAAACAAGACAGATGAACAGGGAAGTGCCAAAAGAGCTCACATTTTGATTCTTGAAAAGGTTTCCTGTTCTTGCTTTTATAGCAAAATTGTTCTGTTCTTAACATTTCAAAAGAAAGTTAAAATCATACTATTTCCCAAGAGAAAAGCACTTCAAATGCCATCTTATAATTTCTACTCTGTTAAGATTAAACTTTAACCAGATTTTTCATGAGCAGATTTTATCGAATGATGATTAGATACATATACATATCATCCATTTTTTATTTTTAAAAAATTAGACAGATAAAATTACCAGATAGCATAGAACAGGGATCTCCAAACTATGTAGGTGGGCCACATCTGGCCGGCCTTGCCTTTTTATCTGGCCCGGTCATAGGAGAGGAGCGAAGCCTGATCTAAGCAACCCCCCTGCCCCCACTGTCTTCACAAAAATCACTTAGATCAGGCTTTGCTCCTCTTCCTATGCCCAAGTGGGGAAAGGAAGAGGAATGAAGCCTGGTCTAAGTAATCTCCTACCCCCGTTGTCTTTGCAAAGACAGCGAGGGTGGGGGATCACTTGGGTCCCCTTCCCCCCTTCGGCCCTCAAAATGTGTAAAATATATGATGTGGTCTTCATATTGAAAAGTTTGGAGACCCCTGGCATAGAACATTAAACATAATTCATAACACAGATTGACTATATCCCCTCAACAATCACTAATTTCTTCTTATGACTGCTATTAACATCACTGGCATACATTTAAATTATATATGCCTATGGAACAGGATTGCTTTTGAAAGCAGGACTGGATGCCTCAAGGCCTTGAAAATGCAACTCTCTCTCTTTTCTTCTTACTGAGGATAAATTTTGGTATGGCAGGATGAGGGTGACATACTTGCTCTATGAACTGATGTCTCAGTAGGAAATAGTTGTTTGTGTGTATGATATGATCAGACAAGAATATTAGGAATTCAAACATATGAGGAGCTTCTAAGTCTTTTAAATTATATCATGCAACAACCAGGTACACAGGAATTGGTTTGAAAAAACATATTGGCAGAATTATAGATCAACAAATCAAGACTGTTGAGCTCTTCAAAAGAAATTAATATTCCAGGTCCTTCAGATATGGATACAATTATTTTTATGATCCTATATCATCCTACTGTTTAATTTGGGCATTCATTTGCATATAACACTAATATTAAAAACTGTACAGTATTTAGATGTAAGATCTGACAATGGGAGGTGAAATAACATTGATGTATAATGAAAAATTTAGTGTCGGTAGCTTCCATTTTGCCTATACAGTACTTGTATTTAGGCTACTTTTGTGTCAAGGTTTGAAATCTTGTGTTTAAGACAGTTAGAAAAACTAAAAGGGGTGCAGGAAAATTTCCCTAAAGGAAAAGTAGTTTTAAAATGGATGTAAGATCTGACAATGGGAGGTGAAATAACATTGATGTATAATGAAAAATTTAGTGTCGGTAGCTTCCATTTTGCCTATACAGTACTTGTATTTAGGCTACTTTTGTGTCAAGGTTTGAAATCTTGTGTTTAAGACAGTTAGAAAAACTAAAAGGGGTGCAGGAAAATTTCCCTAAAGGAAAAGTAGTTTTAAAATGCTTGACTTGAAAAAATAGTTTACATAAGTCATTGCAAAACTGTCTAGCAGAGTAAGGTCAACAAATTATAAACAATCTTGGCAACTGAATGAATGTTTTGGTTATGGTTTGTAAACACAGAGATAATATTATTGTAAATAGCAGGTGAATGAATAAAAGGGGGCATTTTACAGCTATGTAGCATAATCTTTTGGAAAATGTAAATCCTTTGGACTTTCCTTTTCAGATCATCACATTAGTGTTATACTAGCAAAAATGCCAGGTAGACACATCCTAAGGTAGCAAGAAGTAGTCAAAACATAAGTACTTGCCAAAATCTTTATTCCTAGCTCAAGATTTAAAGCATATGCAAAGTCCATTGGATATATTGCAGTAGCATAACCTGGTACAAGACAGTGTTGTAAAACCTGGGTGAGCAGGTTAACTTCATAATCTCTTCATAATTTGGATATCTTGGGATTTCTGAAAATTGCTCACAAATTTTTTGTATTAAATATTGCACCAGAGCACAGAAGAGTTCTGCCTCCTGTCCTCGGAAGATGCCGGCCACAAAGACTGGCGAAATGTTATGAAGAAAAAAAAACGCCAGAACACAGCCAAACAGCCCGAAAAACCTACAACTATTTTGTGCTTGTTTATTCATCATTCTGCAAACTGAAACTAAGCAACAGGATAGGTCTCGTGCATCTTCTCATAGGACCTCATTCCTTTTCCCAGAGTTCTGACAGGGAACTCTGTCACGCCCCACCTCACCTCACAGATGTAGCCTCCCACAAAGCTGCGACATGTGCCTCCATTTCGGCACAGGTTGTGCTGGCAGTGGTTTACTTCACTCTCACAGTAGCTGCCAGTGTAGCTCTTCTTGCAAATACAGTAGTGAGTATTACCGGCATCCACACAACGGCCACCATAGTGACATACTTGCTCCTTGGTCACACCTGTCCAATAGAAAAGAAGACCATACACTGTGAGCCCATAAATCATCTTCCACAACCTCTTCTAAGGGAGAAATGGGGAGGGAGAATCACTAAGAACAGGAGAGGCGAAGAAAGAAGCAAGCTGGTACCAACAGTCACACCTAAGAACAGAACCAAATACTTGGTCCTGTCACTGAACTGGTGAAAAATAAGCTATCCCAATGTTTTCAAAGTCAGACTAATTTTCATTTCTTCTTTAAAAACCTATTTACTGTTCTCATGAATACTGTTGGATGAAAAAGTAGCTACAAATCCTAAAGGTTAAATAAACGTGAGAGGCTAAAAAGGAACAGAAGAGTGTGCTATGTTCTCCCACACCCCAGCAACTGGGAAATTTTGATCACCTGTATCTTTCCCTTCCCTACCTGTTGTATGTCAAGCTCTCATTCTGCAGTCTCCTGTAGTGTTACGCTATTTTGAAATAAAACATAAATGTAGCATTGCTGCTTCTGCTAATGCTGTGCCTAGCGCTGCTGGCAATAATATTTGCTTGGGAAACGTCTGACCTCATTGGTCATGAACATTTCATTTACAGACGTCTCTGAGAACAGCCTCAATTGAAAGCATCGATTAGAGCCCCTGTGAACCAGAGGGCATTGCTCCAGTGTCACCAAAAAGAAGTGAAAGTGACGGTGCCGATGGTAAAAGTCCGGGATCAATTTTCTCAGCATGTAGAAGCTAATGAAGCGATGCCCAGACAGAATGGGCAAGTGTACACCTACAGGCACTCACTGAGAATACAAGCAGAGGAATCGGTGAGCAAGAGACACTGTGCTGGAAAGAAGGCTTTCAGCATGACTGGCCCTGGATCATCAGACATTCTTACCTCGGTTCCTGGCCACCACTTCACAAGAAACATTGGGGATGTCACAGTAGCGACCAGTCCAGCCTCCAGGGCAATCGCATGATAAGGTGGTTCCTGTCTGCACACAGCGGCCACCATTCTGACAAGGGGAGCGAAAACATAAATCCAGCAGGGTCTGCAAGGGGCAGAAAAACACAAGAGCGTAAGTACCGCCTGCTCCTGTCAATGAGGAAACCCAGGCATCTCCCCACTCTGATCCTCCTGAGTGGGTTGGTGCAGCATTGTCTGGGGGGGCGCACAAGCATTTCCTCTGTACTGGGCTCAAACATTTAGTTATCATGACACGTTTACCATCCAATCTTCTGGGCCAAGCTTTCATTGGCTACCATGAGATACATCCTGAGATCTCAATCATTTCTGTTCCCTCCTGACAGAAGATGGCAATAACTTACCTGGCACTGAGAACCTGTGTAGCCCTGAGGGCAGGTACAACGGTAGGACTGCACGCCATCCTGGCACACACCGCCATTGAGGCAAGGCTGTGACTGGCACTCATCAATCTCGTGCTGGCAATGGGAGCCTGTGAAGCCGGCACGACAGTTGCATGTGTACGAATTCACTCCATCTAAGCAGGTTCCACCATTGAAGCAGGAGCTGCAAGAACATCAGCGGAGGAGTCAGAAGTCAGAGGGGGAGCCGCGAAGCTACCTAGCCTCAGCTCCACCTAGCAGGTCCCAGACCTCTCCCTCAAAGTGAATCACGCTCACCAACAAGAAACTGACAGATTTCCACTCTCGGGGAAAGATGCAATGGTGAGAAAAATCTCTTTCCACTCTTACCCTTGGATTCTACAGATTGACCACCTCTTGCTGCAACTTTGGGGTCCCATTTCCAATTGGACTGTGTTTGGCTGAAACTGGTTTCCAGCAGAATTCTAACTGCTCTTTAGCATTCTATGCTTCCTCCAGATTTTGGCTGTGTTCACATGAATACGAATTCATGGGTTTTCACTGACACACAAATTAAAGCAAAGAAGGAGTAGGATTAGAGTAGGATTTTCTAAAGTACCAATCATACTCCTGAACCACCTCTCTACTTTCCTCTTCTTCACCCTGTGTTGTAATATCTCTTTTCTCACTAGGAAAAACTAGTACTTTGTTCTAAAAAGGAAAAAAAAATGTCCAATATCTTCAGATGACTTCACAACACATGGGATTCTGTACAAGGGAAAGCCTGGAAGGAAGCCTATAAACAATGCTCAGAAGTCGTTCAGTCCTCCTGAATCATCCATACTATTATGCCATTTAGCTTCATTCATAAGAATGGGTCTCTAGGGTTGATCCTGCAAGGTGTGATTGCTAATCAATCTGAGCAACCACCTTGAGATTATTTTTAATGGAAAGCTGCATAAAAACATCCTTAATAAACAAACAGCGTGTGATTGCTAATCAATCTGAGCAACCACGTTGTGATTATTTTTTTAATGGAAAGCTGCATAAAAACATCTTTAATAAACAAACAGCCAGAAAGACACTCAACAACTTGCTACTACTTGGGGGGGGGGCGGGGAGACACCATCTTAAAGCAGTTTACCTATCAGTGCATTCCTGTATGTTGTGTTCACAGTGTAGACCATCCCAGCCTGGGGCGCATGAGCAAGTGTAGCTATTGACATAGTCTGTGCAGGTGGCCCCATTGCGGCAGGGGTTGCTCAGGCATTCATTGGTCTCAGTTGCACAGCGTACGCCTGTGAAGCCTGGCATGCAGGTGCAAGTGAAGGAACTGATGCCATCTTGGCAGAAGCCACCATTCAGGCAAGGATCTGTTGACAGGAAGAGAAATATTCCAAAGGGTTCCACTGAGTTCTCTTTTAATCAAGAACTGATAATACAAAAAAGGCTAAGTGCCTCGTCTTATGTAACTCTGTGCACTTAGATTCATATATGCTTAGGTATCTACATCTACAGACTATGCTTAAGCATCTACATAAAATTTCACTCATGTATATCATTTAATCTCCTTCAGAAGCTTAAATTTCTGGGTACACTGTAGGGAAAGCTATACATGTATTTATTTACCTATTCTCAACTATTCCACCTCTGCTTAAGGCAGCCAAGAGATAAGACCAAAAGCGAAGGCACAATCCCTTATTAATGTGAGACCCAGAAACCAGTTTGAAAAGGGAGATGGTTAGCTGTATACTTGCTGGTTCTATTTCTGTCTCTTACTTTATATTAATTTTTTGTTAACTAGCTTTCCCTTCCAAAGCAAATCATGGCGGCACAATGCTCCTGCCTGGAACTTCCACCCAATTCCTTTTATTTATTAATTTTATTTATTTACAAGATTCTTTAGCCGCACCATTACCAATGGTCTCTGAGTGGCGTACAACAATATTAAAACTTTAAAACCATTAAAAATAGGCACTATTATAATAATACCCTATATTAAAACAGCCATTAAAACATCAATATTAATAAATCCTGCTTGCTCATATGGCCCGCTAAAGGATACTATTCAATTAAAATGCTGGCTAAACAGAAAGGTCTTTGCTTGGCGCCGAAAACCCCAAAGTGTTGCTATGTTTTCTCCAATAATAGACTCAATAGAAACTCAACGTCCTCATTACTCTCCACCCCTTTCCTCTTGTCTCATAGGCCCAATGCACTCACTAGGCGTGCAGTCATCAATATCCATCTCACAGTTCATGCCAGTGTAGCCAGGACGGCAGGCACATCGGTAACTGCCAAGCGTGTTGGTGCAGGTGCCCCTGTTCCGACAAGGGTTCTGATCACATTCATTAATGTCAATGTGGCACTGCTGCCCTGCAGGTACAGAAAAAAGTCAGCAATTGTGTCTTGGCTTTAATTATATTCCAAGGTTTATGTTCCACATTTCTACCCAAAGATATTTAAGACAGGGAACAAATTAAATGCAAATTATGTAGGAAAGAATGTCCTAAGAAATAAAAATCAGAGCTCATAAAAGTAACTTGTTTGGAATTGTAATTCCCAGAATCCCTATGCCTACATTGCCCACAGAAGGTTCAGGGACCTGGAGCCTAACAAAAAGTTATTTCCCAAGCTTTGGAAAAACCACCACTACAATTAAAACAAACATTACAACATAAACCAGCATATGCAGACTGATAGGGCCGGACGTCTCAGAAGCAGCTGGTACCTTGCCAGCCTGGTGCACAGCCACAGGTGAATCCCTCGTAGTCAGGCGTGTGGTCACAGACGCCATTGTTTTCACATGGATTGGAGGCGCAGGGTGCTAGCACAGTCTCACAGTTCCGGCCTGTGGGGTGGAGGGAAGAGAAAAGCCTGTCACAGTAGTTAAGTTTGCAGTGGCCAGGAGCTAGAACATCCTGAGTTATAAATGCCACAGTAGTTAAGTTTGCAGTGGCCAGGAGTTAGAACATCCTGAGTTAGAAATGCATTTCTGAGACTCAACATGAATATAGATGAAGCTGCAAAAACAAATGACTATCTCCACAATTATGGGAATTCTGCTTTGTACACAAGGCAGATGTCATCAAGTTGATTGAGGAGGTTTCTCAACCAGTTAATCTGAAGACCAACTAATGCTAAATTGTCAGTCATCTGTTGCATGAATCCAGATGTCTCCCTTCAAGGAAGCACTTCTATTTAAACCACATCTTCATACATCAACCATAATGTATTACTTAAGGGAAAACATTGTTTGGGAAGTTTGAGTCAAAAGATTTTGAAGTGAGGTCTCAAATGTAGTTGTGCAATGTCACAGACACCCATTGGACTTGACTCCTTCTCTCCCACTACACTGACATTATGATATGAACACGGTCAAAGAGGGAACCCACAAGAACAAGGAGTTACACAAGACAAGGCTGACTAAAGGAAGCTTGTTTTTCACCCTTCCGTTCATTCACAGCAAATATGACTATCCCTTAAATGGCTAAAATGTAGAATATCCATAAAGGCCATGATCCTTCAGCCTCCAATGTGCACTCAGTACAAACTAACTGTGGCTTACCAATCCATCCCTTCTCCTGAGGAGACAGGTTTTGATATACAACTCTGTGCAACAGACTGGAGATCAGTTTTCTTTAAAAGAATTATGCTTTCCAGCAGATTACAACCTTACCCCCCCACCCCCCAACAACCACATACATCCCGCACCATAAAACCTCTTTGCTCACCGGTGTAAGGCAAGTCACAGTGACACGAATAGCTGGCGATGCCATCAATGCAAGTCCCCTTGTTGAGGCAAGGGCTGGAGGCACAGTCATTGATGTTCGTCTGGCAGTAAGTACCTGCAAATGGAGGTGTGCACAGAAAATCTTAAAATCCACTTATGAATACAAAGGCACAGAGAGAAGGTTTGATGGTTTCCACACAACCCAACTTTTTAGGCAGGTATACTTGAAGGCTTTCACAGCTGGGATCTAATGGTTGTTGTGGGTTTTTCGGGCTCTTTGGCCATGTTCTGAAGGTTGTTCTTCCTGACATTTCGCCAGTCTCTGTGGCTGGCATCTTCAGAGGACTGGAGTCGGATCTCTGTCTGTGCTATGTGGCCGGCATCTCCAGAACACAGACAGTGACTCCTGTCCTCTGAAGATGCCGGCCACAGAGACTGGCGAAATGTTAGGAAGAAAAACCTTCAGAACATGGCCAAAGAGCCGGAAAAACCTACAACCACAATTTTCAGACAGGATTAGAGGGAAAAGAAACATGCTGTTTAGCAAGACTGAGTGTATCCCATAACATTTCCAGATAATAGATGGGAGCACAAAATATATGTGGATACTGTATATAGTTTTTGGATAGAAAAATGCTAGATGGTAGCAAGATGTCATGTAAATGTTCAGGGCAAAGCATGGGTGATGGAAGCAGGGCATGAAAGCTACAGTGAAGCAATACCCTGGAAGCCTTCTTTGCATTTGCAGCGATAGCCATTGACGTAGTCAGTGCAGGTGCCCCCATGTTGGCATGGGTTGGATTCACACTCATTGCGGTTCACATCACAGTTGGTGCCATCCCATCCTGGTTCACATTCACACTGATACCTGCCAAAGGGACAAGATAAAAGAAAGAAGTCATGAGTTCTTATACTTTCCAAGAGATTCTTACCCACTGTTAGCTCAAACCCAGTGGACTGCTTGGTAAAGACTGGTTTAATGCACTCCTGTTTTCAGATCCCCCCTCCCAGCAATGTCAGAGCAAAAGGCTGTCTGTTTGTGGCCCCAGCCACTTATTCCAAACCTATCTCCCTACAATCTGCGTCTCGGTGGCCAGTTCCTACCCATTAATGTCATCATGGCATGTGCCATGCACACAGGGGCTGCTGCTGCACTCGTCCACTTCTGAATAGCAATGTGGATCGTGGAAACCCTCGGGACACAGGCAAGAGAAGCCGTCTTCGCCATCCACGCAGGTGCCACCATTCTTGCAGGGATTGGATGCACATTCATTGATCTCTACATTGCACAGGGGACCTAAGTGGGAGAAGAGGGCTAAAGTCACTCCTTGTCATTTTCCCACCAGATGGGGCAGTCAGCCCAGCTTCGTCTGCTCTTCCAGGTAAGCATGACATCTCAGAGTTGTCAGTAGTTCAATTTCAACTGCGGCTCACAAAGCCAAAGACTTGATTAGTCTCATCATGGAACCATTGTGGGAGTTCTTGAACCAATTCCCTTCATTCCTTTACCTCCCCCCTTTCCTCCCACCCCCAGCAATTACCCCACTCAGCCATCACCTGTGAAGCCAGGTTTGCAGATGCAGTCGTAACGGTTGATGCCATCACGGCAGATGCCATAATCACAGGGATTGCTGGCACAGTCATCAAAGTTTATCTCACAGTTGGTACCTTGGGAAGGAGAACATAATACAGGCATGGGATATCATACATCACAGGCATCCCCCTACCTCACCAGGCCCCTGAGGAGACTCGGAAATTCATTCCCGGGCTCAGTAATATTTGCAAAGTTAAGTCCAAGTGGTAGAGACAGGATGAGACGTATCGGCCAAAATCCTGTTGCTTAGAATACGAAATAATAGAGTAGGTTTATTGAATCAATTGGGATTTGATGAGTCAACTCCTCCATAAATTCCAATGACTCAAATGGGCCTACTTTAGTTGCAACTTACTATGCCAAAGCAAGTCACAACTAGAGGGGCTTGTTTCAATCAACGGAACTTATGGAGCAGTTGAATCACTAAATCCCCATTGATTCAATAGTCCTACTCTACTGTGATTTAGTATGCTAAGCAACAGGATTTTGGCCAATGAAGGAGAAGCTGTCATAGCTCAGGTGACATGATCTAAGAATGCTGCGTGCCTGTAAATGATCCAATACTGCCCAATAGTGCTGAGACATAATAGGTAGCTAGACTGTGAACAAGAGAGGGGAATTCTCTGTGCAGGCATGAGGGATGGCCTACCTGAGGTGCCCATTTGGCAGTGGCACAAGTACTTATTGACCAGGTCAATGCATTTTCCACCATGTTGGCAGGGATTGCTATGGCACTCATTGATCTGATTCTCACAACGATACCCCGTATAACCAGCAACACAGGTGCAGGTAAAGCTGGCAATGCCATCCACACAGGTGCCATGGTGGCAAGGATCTGGTGAGCAGTCATCAATGTTCCTTTCACACAAAGCTCCCTCAAAACCTGGGTAGGAGAAGGGAAGGCAGAATTAGTAAGGTTCACAGCAACACAGTGTACAGAGCATACCAGAAAAAGCTCTCTCACTCCCCTCCCTTTCCAAAAAAATAGAAGCTATTGATCAAAATGTTGCCATAGTCTAATGCGTCGCATCTAAAGAACTAAACAAATGTTTAGCCAAAATTGTTCATTTCTTCCCTGTCACAGCTTGTTGTATATGATTTTGATTTCAAAACTCCATGTTAATGTCCTGAGCTTTCCAGAACAATAGTTTCCTTCCTCCCACCCCCCCCACGCATATAAATTGAATAGGTACTTACTTAAAATCCTTCCCTTCTTTTTTAATTTGTTTGGGCAATGAATATGGGTTGAGCTTCATGTGTACCAAGCAAGTCAGGCAAAGCAATTAAGAAACTTAGTAAGAAATCAGAGAAAACTTACCGTTTTTCCTAGAAGTACAAGCTGTACAATTTCGGTATCCCATTTCTCTCTACACTAAAAACAGTTCTGTAGGAGAGTGTTGTTTTTTAAAAAAATTCATCCCTAGGCCTATGCTCCCATTAGTCACAAAATGTAGCATGGGCCATGATGAGCCCTGCCTTGAACCAGGACAGAAAGACTCTGGCACTCCCAATATTGCTTGTTTACGTCTCCTATCACCCCTGACCCCTGGCTATGTGTGGTTGGGGCTTAGGGGAGCTGGACGACTGAAGGGCCACAGGTTGTCCACCCCTGATTTGAACACAGTAAGCTTCCCTGCTGCAGGAAATGCTGTGGCCTAAAAAGGTTTTGCCTTTGGTTCATTTTTAAACGGCCAACGGAAAAAGAAGCTCAACACAAACATCAATTTGCTCTTAATCTTCCATGGTTAACTTGAGGACAAGGACTAGAGAATTCCAGTAAAAGGCTCACTCCAGTAAACAGAGATTAAACACCCCTAAACTAGGCCCAGTCCATGTACTACTTACTTAGAAGACTTCAGACATCTTCCCCTAAAAGATGTTTGCAAGTAAACGGGAATGGGCAGCTCACATAACACTCAGCTTGAGCCTCTTAAAAAGGCACACAAGAACCACTCAAGAAAGCCAGACATAAAAGGCTCGTTTGGAGGCAACAACCTCCCTGCATGCCAGATTCTAAAGGTTCTCATGCAATCATCATCAACAGTTTTCCTCTTGGCTGGAAGGAGGAGGGGAAAAAACCTTCAGCAACACAGCTGCAAAGTATGAAAGACAATAAATGGCTGCAGCCAGGGATCACCTTCTGTACAGCGGCATTCGTAGGCATTGGGTCGGTCCACACATTTGGCACCGTTCTGGCATGGCGTGCTGGCACATTCGTCAATATCAATCTGGCACATGGAGCCTGAGAAGCCTGAACCCAAAGAAAGCAAGAGGTCAAAGAAGCCGGAAGGACCAACAAATGGGGAGCATGTACTCGTTCTTACAGCATTTACATGCATATCCTTTATCTTCCAAACAGGGTAGAACATCCCGCCAAATTCACAAACACTTGTCCTTATCCAATCTGATGCATGGGGGATTTTATGTCAACATTTATACACACAAATAGCAAGTAAAGGCATAGCAATCCAGAACTGGAGTGGGAAGAGTGGAAGTACCACCCAGGCTGTCAGTTCGAGTTTATCAGCTGGGGTCCACACTAGGTTACGTGGGAAAAGCGCAAGCACTCAGCTGCCCAAACTATCAGAAAGCAGAATATTTTACATGTAAGGGCACTAACTAGACTGGTAAAAGGATCCGTACATATCACTTTTCAGGCAAAAATCTCAGCCAATATAAATCAACAGGCTAAATCAGAAACTCCAAGAAGCGAAATAAGTTCACATGGAGGGGGGAGGAGGAGGAATGTGTAGGCTCCATCAGGCCCAATTGCACAGTTCAGCCCTACCACCAGAGGCCTATAGCACGGACTCTCAAGCTCTCTCCCCCTCCTCTCCACAGGAGGCTTCGTGGTGTCTGCCCCACATGTAAATTGGGTTCAGGGGCCTGTGCTACAGGCTGGGGGAACAAAGATGCCATTGTCCCGGCTCCCACACAGCAAGCTATAGGCCTTTCTGTCAATCAACCTTGGAAGCAAATGAATGGAATACAGGGGCCCCCACCCACTTGGTAGCAGAAAAAAACAGGCAGATTCTGGGGAATTGAGCCAAACCCAAATCCCAAGGCTATGCTTGTGTCCCAGACAGTGACAAGAAATTCCACGAACTGGACTCCTAGCTCAGCTGCACATGCTTGAGTCCAGTGCAGGGAAGGAGAGAAAGCACAAGGGGCAGTGTGAGCTCACGAAAAACTGCAGCAAAATTCTACGTTGAGCCTCAGATCCAACACACACACACACACACAGAGTGGAGTTCACACAAGGGACAGACATTCCCAAGGAATGTTCAGAGAAGAAGGAAGGAAAATTAAGCTTCTTGTGTACTCCTCAGACTTCTGAAAGTGAGATCCAGATAGCGACCAGATCATCAGGAGTAACCCTGCAGGGAAATCGGTCAAGTTCACCCATATAAGTGAAACAGAATCATAGAACAATGATGCCAGAAAGGGCCTCTAATGCCATTGAGTCCAACCCCCTGCTCAATGCAGGAATCCAGAAACAAACCTTCTAGTTCTTCGGGGGGGGGGCAGACAACAAAGAAAAAGACACAGCATTACTCTTCTTCCTTGTGGAAAGTAAAGAGAAAGCACCATGTTGCCAAAATATCTAGGCTTACCTGAAGGACAGGTACAGCTGAATCCATTGACAATATCCTTGCAGACACCACCATTGACGCAGGGGTTACTCTCACACTCATTGATGTTGATCTCACAAAAAGTGCCACTGAAACCTGGACCAAAGGGAATTGTTTGTGTTACAAAGCTCAGCCTTATCCCATTGTCCACATGCTCACCATATGCACCCAGCACACCCACATCTAGCAAAAGTAAGATGGGGGCTGTCCTCCCACCCTGGAGGGCCCATGTTTGAGAACATCAACAGTGCACTACAAATTACAGTGTGTCACTTCCAGTACAGAGTGTTCATAAAATATTTTTTTAATATCCTGCTATTCTCCTGCAGTCAGAAAGACAATGTTTAACAGGTGAAAACTGTCAAGGGTTAGAGGCCTGTGCCAGATGCTTCAGGCGGGCTGAAAGGACAACCTTCCCTCCAAACTCCAGTCCCACCTTCTTTGTCCCTTTGTGTGTTCTGTACTGTCAAGTCTGAACTGACTTACAGCAACCCTAATAGGACTTTCAAGGAAAGTGAGATATTTAAGGAGTGGTCTTACCACTCTAACAGGTGAAAACTGTCAAGGGTTAGAGGCCTGTGCCAGATGCTTCAGGCGGGCTGAAAGGACAACCTTCCCTCCAAACTCCAGTCCCACCTTCTTTGTCCCTTTGTGTGTTCTGTACTGTCAAGTCTGAACTGACTTACAGCAACCCTAATAGGACTTTCAAGGAAAGTGAGATATTTAAGGAGTGGTCTTACCACTCTCCCCAATGATCAAGGAAAGTGAAATATTTAAGGAGTGGTCTTACCACTCCCCCCACCCCAATGAATTTCCATGGCCAAGTGGGGTCTAAAACCTGTTCTCTTGAGTCCTTGTTCCATCACTCTATGCATTACACCACACTGTGAACTCTTCTTTGTCCCTTCTGGCTCTAAATCACATTCCTCGTCCCTCTAATATGTCACCAAATTTCTATTTTCCAGGCACAGCAGAAAGCATAAACTAGTGCAACTATTCTGCATGTTGCCACTCCTACTGGTGGTCAATGGAGTTTCTAGTTCAAGCAAATGAATGCATTTGATCAATCAACTAATCCAAAGCAATGTCTGCATGATGTATGCATATGCTTAGTAACCTTTCCCATAAGCATATGCTGGATGGAGTTACACTCCCCCTGAAAACTCAGGTCTGCAGCTTAGATGTCCTCCTGGATTCATCCCTAAGCTTGGATGCTCAGGTTTTGGCGATGGCCAGGAGTGCATTCGCACAGCTAAAGCTGGTGCGCCAGCTGCGCCCATTCCTTGAGATGTCAGATCTGGCTACAGTGATACATGCCTTAGTTACATCCCATTTGGATTACTGTAATGTGCTCTATGTGGGGCTGCCTTTGAAGACAGTTAGGAAATTTCAGCTAATGCAAAACTCTGCAGCCAGACTACGCACTGGAACCAGCTACAGGGAGCATATAACATACCTGTTACAAGAACTGCGCTGGCTACCAGTCCGTTTCCAAGCCCAATTCAAAGTGCTGGTCATTACCTATAAAGCCCTATACAGCTTGGGTTCAGGCTACCTGAAGGACCGTATCTCCCTATATGTGCCTTCTTGGCAATTAAAATCAGCAGAGGAGGCCCTCCTCTCGGTCCCATTGCCAGCACAAGCACAGCTGACGGGGACTCGGGAGAGGGCCTTTTCGGTGGCAGCTCCCAGGCTATGGAACTCTCTCCCTCGGGAGATCAGGATGGCCCCTTAGATGTCAGATCTGGCTACAGCGATACATGCCTTAGTTACATCCCATTTGGATTACTGTAATGTGCTCTATGTGGGGCTGCCTTTGAAGACAGTTAGGAAATTTCAGCTAATGCAAAACTCTGCAGCCAGACTACGGATTGGAACCAGATACAGGGAACATATAACGTACCTGTTACAAGAACTGCGCTGGCTACCACTGTGCTTCCAAACCCAATTCAAAGTGCTGGTCATTACCTATAAAGCCCTATACAGCTTGGGTTCAGGCTACCTGAAGGACCGTATCTCCCTATATGTGCCTTCTTGGCAATTAAAATCAGCAGAGGAGGCCCTCCTCTCGGTCCCATTGCCAGCACAAGCACAGCTGACGGGGACTTGGGAGAGGGCCTTTTCGGTGGCAGCTCCCAGGCTATGGAACTCTCTCCCTCGGGAGATCAGGATGGCCCCTTCCCTTTTGTCCTTCTGAAAAAAGCTAAAGACCCATCTCTTCAGGCAGGCGTTTAACAATTATAACTGAATCCCTGAACCCCACTTTAGCAGATAATTTTAATCTTTTTCATGTTTTCATGTTTTAATATATTAATTGTATTTTAAATCATATATTGTTTAATTTATCTTTTAATATTTAACTTATTGTGTTTTTAAATTGTGTGAATTTTAATGTTGTGAGCTGCTTTGGGTCCCTTGTTGGGAGAAATGTGGCATCATCATCATCATCATCATAAACGTACAGACTTAAAAAGCTGCCTTGTATCACATTTGACTTCTTGTTTATCTAGCTACACTTACTAGCAGCCACTTTCCAACATATTTAAGGCCAATCCTAAAATTTAAACTTAAGTATAAAATAAGAGGAAACTTATAGTCTTTCTTAGAAGTATGAGCTGTACAATTTCGGCATCCCATTTCTCTCTACACTAAAAGCAGTTCTGCAGAAGAGTTTCTGGAAATTTGTTAAAAAACATTTCATCCCCTGGCCTATCCTCCCTTTATTAATGACATGTTAGCATGGTTCATGAAGACTCCAAGGTATCATGCCTTGAACCAGGGCGGAGAGTTTAATTGAAGGCATACGTTTCTATGTCAACTTCTGCACAGGGTTATCATCCCAAAAAGGGAAGAGGAAAACACGCTAGACATGCTATACACCAAGCGAACACAGCTGAAGGGGGCAAATCAAACTCCAGACTACAGAAGACTAGCCATCCTGCACGCACTGGGCTGCAGGGCTTCAAACAGGTATCGTGATTCTGCGCTGTGTATCCTAGGGCCATTCCAAAGTGACAGGAATGAACACAGCCTGCCTTGCTGGTCTTGAAGCACAGTACTGCAAAACTAACTATTCCAGTTTCATTATTACCAGCCCTTTCCCACTGCCATTGAAAAAAATGAAATCTGCTTCTCTCATTAATAGTATGCTGACAAGCAGCATCGACTGACTCATTTCTGGGGCCTACCTCCTCTGCTCAGCTACTCACAAAGGAACTGAGACGCTCCAGCCTTGAACTAGGTTTCTGCTAGAAAGATGGGAGGAACAGAGTATCTTAAAATTGTAAGATGGCACTGAAATATCTTTGTGCAAACCACTTGAGTGGGCAGGGCTCGCTTAGGGTCAAAAAAGAAAACCACAAAACACTGTGTTCTCCTACTGTTCCATCAGGGACTGAGATACAAGCCAGCTGTATCTTTTCGGTTTGGAGATAATCTCTGTGCAAGGGGAAGGGAGAATGCCACGTGAGAAGTCACTATACAGTTCCTTTGTTCTAATTCACCAGAACCATGTTCCTCAAATTCTGGAGATTTTTTTTTGGGGGGGGGGAACCCTAAAATGATGGTGATGCACTACCAAATGCCTTTCACCTGACTTTCCCTGATGCAGGCAAATCTTTAACTTCAGACATTATACAAAGACAAGATCACTCCTGTTTGTTTCCTCTAAGTTGATTAAGAAAAAAGACATGGGAAAGAAAGAGAAGCCTCTTTGGGTAGGAGGCAGGGAGAGGAATAAGCCCCAATATTTAAAACAAAAATAAAAAGAAAGAAATCAAGAAAGCAAAGCAAAGGAAAAAAAAGGTTAAGATGTCATAGTGGTATGATAAGCAGGCAGGAAATAGATCAGAGCTGTCAGACAGGCCTGGATTTAGGCCACCAGAGGAAAAGAAGGTGAGCAGGACTTATGCAAGGAACTCGGGACAATTTGGCCACATATTTCTGATATTTCTGGTTTGTCTCAGTGAGTGGCCTTGAGATTTGAGGTCACTGGTAAGGAAAAGAACTGGGAGCTGAAAAGACTGTGGGGACTGCCGGAGTAAACACAAAACAGGAGCAAAGGTTAGAGATGAGCTACCAGTACACACACTGATTTGGGTTTTGAGAATCATAGGTACATACAAAGAATCTGCTTTCCAGAACCATTTTCTAATCAGTTTGAAGGAGGTTCTGCAATTTAAAAAAAAAAGCTCCACTACTTACAGCCCAGTCAAATGTTTCTAAAGCTTTCGTGCTTTTGCTGTAGGAAGGGGATTATCTGGGAAAGGAATGCTACTGCATTGCTGGCTCCTAATTTCTTGCCAGCAATCTAGGTCGGGTATGCCAAACCACTCACTGCATTTCTCGATCCCAAGAGGAGTAGCTCCAAAATGCAGGGAGGCTGGATTAGAGCAGAAGTGCCAAGCTGATGCCTAGTCGTGTAACCCCCTAGTCCAAGGCCATTCTCATCTAGCAGCCCCCCCACCCATGTTTCTTTACAAAAAGCCAGAATTAACCAATGAGTGAGCAAGCAAGGACAACGCACCTCCCTCTATGGGGTAACGGAAGCACAAAGCACAGTCAATTCACATCACCCACCAGGCCGGCCCCAACATTAATATTCCAAGCACAATGCTGCACTCCCAACTGTCTGTATGAACATTGTACTGATTTCCCCGGCACCCCAGTCCCATAGCACGGTGACAATGGGAGGTGGGGCAGCTGTATAGCCATCCCTCACTTTCCACAGCTCCCTTCATCCGTATACACTCGCCTTGGCCCCAGCATGGCTGTCTAAAGATCTCCGCTTCTTTTGGGGGCCAAGCTCACCACACTGCAATGATGCGCTGGAGGCAGAAATGGCAGTACACTCATCCAGAGAGAGAGACCTACATGACAGCCCCCACATTTACAGTGCTAACCTATGCTGGAAACAGCCAGCCCCCTTCCTCAACCTTCCTCCTAAGTCTGTATACTGAGTGTACTAATCAGTTCTGCCCTTGCAGTAACTATACGGAATAAAGAGCCTGAAAGCATACAAACTGGCAGGGGACAAGGGGTGAGGGAAAAGCTCAGCATAGATTCCTACATATCTATACTAATATAACTATCCATGTTCCCCCTGGTTCTCTTAGTCTGAAGAATACAACCCACCAACCAGGGCTAGGAGAATCATGAGTACCTTCCTGATGTACATGCATAAAAAGATTAGGCACTGCAAGAGAGATAGGAAGAGTCAAAACCCAAGAGCTGCCTCTTCACAAGAGTCTGAAATCTAAATAAAATAAACTCCTTCAAAGAATCAGAGATGCACTCTTGGTGCCTTGGTGCAAATCAAGGATTATGTTCTTGCACCAAGGAGACACATGCCTAGGCAGGAAGCAAGGACTGTTTTTCAACAATTTATACAGAATTTCAAATGCGCCTTGTGCTTTACACAGAGAAGCCCTCCCACTCTGGCACTATCCAGAAGCACAAGACTACAACTCTCATCCTCTTCAACTAGCATAAACATGGCCCAGCAAATCTGGAAAGCAGCAGGTTTGGGAGGATTAATGGAGCTTCACAGCAACTCTGAAAAATGTAACTGAAAATGGTTGTTCTGGGTTTTTCGGGCTCTTTGGCCGTGTGCTGAAGGTTGTTCTTCCTAATGTTTCGCCAGTCTCTGTGGCCAGCATCTTCAGAGGACAGCACTCCAGAGCACAGGTTGCTGTCCTCTGAAGATGCCGGCCACAGAGACTGGCGAAACATTAGAAAGAACAACCTTCAGAACACGGCCAAAGAGTCCGAAAAACCCACAACCATTAGATCCCGGCCGTGAAAGCCTTCGCGAATACAGTAACTGAAATTGTCATGGTTAAAAGGAAATTGAACCAAAGAACTCACACCTGGTAGGGACTTGGCACTAGTTCTTCAAAATCCAGTTACATAGCAGCTTTCTTTTCCCCCTTTAGACTGCTTGCATCATGAGGGAAATATTTTGCTCCTCTAATGGTTCAACATCAGGTAGAGCCAGGGAACTCACCCGACATGCAGATGCAGGTAAACTCCCCAATGCGGTCAAGGCAGGTAGCATCATTCTGGCAAGGCATGGAGAGGCACTCATTGATGTCTGTCTCACAGCGTGGTCCTGTGTAGCCACGGCCACACTGGCACTGGAAGGAGCCTTGTGTATTCACACATTTGCCAAAATGCTCACATGGATTGGCTCCTGGAGATGGCAAAGGAACACAACGTGAACATAGGTGGATGGATGGCCCAAAATTACAACCCCTCTATCTTCACTTTAAGGAAAAAAGCAAACAAGGAATTGAAGCAGCACCTCTCTGAAGCCAGCTAGTCTCAGTCTTTTACGTGCAATATTGCAATTCAGAGAGCTAACCTAAGTTCATCTTGGACTCATCCTCCCCGGACCTTTCCCTCCCGCTCAGTGGAGAGGCAGTTCCTCTTTTTTTTTGATTCTACAAAATAAGAAAGGTTCAGTAATTCTCACCAATGGAACACTCATTCACATCCTGATCGCATGCTCCCCCAGTGAAACCAGGAGGACAGGTGCAGATGGCACGGCCATTCATTGGGTTGGTGTCACAAATTGCATCCTCGTGGCAAGGGTTACTGACGCAGGCATCATCCAAGTGACAGAGAAGGCCTAGGGGGGAAAGACCATGAAAAGAAATCACATGACAGCAGTGCCTAGTAACAGGAAGTGCAGAGAATGGGGCAGAGTTAATGGGGAAAAGGCAACTCATGGCTACATCTTGTTCATGCCCAACAAACTCCCCCCCCATTTAGAAAGCTATCCTAGCCATGTTATCCACATCCCACCAAGATGTTCATTTCAGTATCCTGACCAAAGCTCCCAAAACATCTACACAAACCAGAACAAAATCAGGCAACATGGATATGCTATGCAAGGTGAGTGACCAGATACCTGTCTTGCCCATAGGACAGGCACAGTAGAAGGAAGCCACACGATCATGACAGGTTGCACCGTGAAAGCAGACTGCTGTCTGGCAGTCATCGATGTTCTCACTGCAGCTCTCCCCAGTCCAGCCATTGACACAGACACAGGAATGCCCTCCATTGGTGTTGAAACAAGTGCCCCCATTGTGGCAGGCATTGGGCTGCAGCTGGCATTCATCCACATCCTCAGTACAGAACTGGCCTAGAGGGCAAGGAGAGGGAGGCAGTTCTTATGGGAACAGCCTGGCCAAAAGCTCCTACACTGACATCCTTCCCCCTTCCTGCTTCCCAGTCCTGGGACACTTCCATTTACTGAGCCAGGTCAGTATCTTGCAAAACTGGAGTACAAAACAACCCACACTTCATTCTGTACAAGACAGACAGACAGACAGACTTCCTGATTTGGAGGATAATGCTGAAAGAACCCCATAATGACAAGCAGAAAAGGAAATTCCTCATCTCTGAGAGATTCCCACTTCCCCCAAGTCCCCCAAAATGCTCTAGGGTTCTCATCACATCCTGGCTCTTGCACACACACACACACACACACACAGAGAGAGAGAGACCCATACCTGTCCACTCAGGAGGGCACTGGCAGTTGTAGGTGTTGACGCCATCCACACAAGTGCCCCCATTCATGCACATGTGGTCTGGACAGTCATCTATGTTGATCTCACAATTGTGGCCCTCAAACCCTATGGACAGAGAAGAGAAGGATTTAGTCCAGCTTGGGAAAATCAAAGAAAGCAAAAGCCATCAACCCATCGTTCTGCTACTAAGGTTCCATTCAGGCCTATAATCCCATGCACCCTTTTCTGGGAGTCAATGCCACAGAGCACAGTAAGACTTCCTCCCAAGGACGCATGCACAGGATTGCCCTGTAGGATTGAAAACCAAGTTCAAGCTTGGCCAGGAATGGCAGAAACGGAAAATACGACAATGTAGGGCAGAGTCTCTGAGCTACTTTGCAAAACACCCATCTCTTGTTTTAAACTCCCACTCTCATTCAAGATCTCAAACTCAAATAAGGAGGAAGAATTAGTCAGGCCTTGCCCTGCATTTTGGCTTACACAGCTGGAACCACAGCTGCTGTGAGCCAACTCTGACTGCCTCCCCCTTTGATTGCTTCCTTCCTGCTCCACCAAGGCTCTCAACAGCTTCCCATGAGCTTCCTGACAGCAGAATGGTGCAGCACAGCATAGTCTAGCCAGGGAAAAGAAAGGGCTAGGCTCATGCTGCAAGGACCGCTTGACATCGCCCAGATTCTCAAAGAGATATTCTCACCTAAAATCTATCCCCCTCCGCCCAGTACTCAACCCTGTTCCCATACGGCAGAGTTAAGCATGGCCTTCTTAGAACTGTTCACTCACCTGGTAAGCAAGCACACTCGTAGCTGAGTTCCCCTGTCTGGCGGCAAGTACCCCCGTTGAGACACTGGGAGGGAGCACACGGTGTGGAGATGCTCTCACAGTGCTGCCCTGTGTAACCCGGTTGGCACTGGCACCGGAAAGAGCCAGGTGTATTCAGACAGGTGCCCCCATTCTGGCACAGACCAGGCAGCCGACATTCATCCACATCACTCCGACAGTTGCGGCCCTGATAGCCGGATGGGCACGTACAGTTGTATCGGCCATTCCAGTTGGTACAGCGGCCGCCATTAAGGCATGGCTTGCTGGCACAGGCATCAAACAGAGAGCAGTCTTGGCCTAAACAAGAGAGTTCCTTGTGACTTTGGGCCTGGAAGGGAGGGCGTTAACTCTTCATCCTATTTCCTACATCCTCACCTATGATCGCACACCCTAGTGAATTCCCATGTACACTCCCATCCCAGAGGAACAGTTTCCCACTGGGAAGGCAGAAAGCGTATAGGACACCAAGGCTTCCTCGCCCACCTCACTGCATGCCCTCACCTCGGAAGCCTTTGGCGCAGGTACACTGGTAGTGCACCGTGCCGTCTCGTAGTGTGCTCTCACATGCCCCCCCATTGGCACAGGGAGATTGGTGGCATGGATCTTGAAACTGGCAGTGTTCCCCAATTAGTCCAGGCTGGCATCTGAAAGAGAAAAATAGTTTATTAGATGACTTGTTGCATTCCTCTTAATTTTTTTTTAATACGTTTTTATTCTTTGGAAATAATATAAGGAAAAACAGGGGGGAAATGCCAAAAGTTTTTTTAAAAATTACAGAGAGTGCTAAAACCCCAAAAAGGCATAATAATAAGAAAATGTAAGTGTAAATATCAATAAAAAATGACCAGATATCCAAATAAGTATCTATACACACTTGCCATCTGTATGCCACATGCTCAGATGTTGAAACAATGATAATGTCATCAAGCTATCAGTTATGCCACTTGTCTTATTTATTATTTATTTAAAATAATTCTATCCTTCTTTTCTCCCGAAAAGGGACTTAAGGTGGCTTGCATCATTAAAAAGACAGTATTCAAAAACAGTAAATATACAAATATTTTAAAAAGAATTAAACAAGGATTATATTAAAAATAGTAAATAAAGCCAGCATTAAAACACATTTAAAACAGAGCACAACAATCCATTTAAAAATCCCTCTCAGACCACCAGTCATTAAGGAAAACTCTGCCTGAAGAAAAAAAGGTCTTTGCCTGCTTGCAGAAAGACAGCAAAGAGAGGTCCAGCCTGGCTTCCCACAGGAGGGAGTTCCAGAGTCTGGGAGCAACGACAGGAGAAGGCCCTCCACCACCACCACCACCCCCGTGTCTCCACCAAATGCACCGGCAGGGGAAGGATTGAGAGAAACAGAAAGAAACACACACACACACACACACACACAAACACACACAAACACACACACACACCAATGATCTTAATGGATGGGCAAACTCATATAGGAAGATGTGGTCTTTTAGATAGCATGGATCCAAGCCATTTAAGGGCTTTGTAAGTTAAAACCAGTCCTTTTAATTGTGCCCGGAAACAGATCCGCAGCCAGTGGAGGTGCTGTAACAGGGGAGTGATATGTTCCCTGTAACAAACACACACAAACACACACACACACCAATGATCTTAATGGATGGGCAAACTCATATAGGAAGATGTGGTCTTTTAGATAGCATGGATCCAAGCCATTTAAGGGCTTTGTAAGTTAAAACCAGTCCTTTTAATTGTGCCCGGAAACAGATCCGCAGCCAGTGGAGGTGCTGTAACAGGGGAGTGATATGTTCCCTGTAATCAGGTTAACAATTTGGCTGCGGCATTTTGGACCCTCTCGAGTTTCTGAACACTTTCCAAAGGCAGCCCCACATAAGAGCATGTTATGGTAATCCAGCCAAGATGTAACTAGGGCATGTGTCACCAGGGCCAGATCAGACCTCTGAAGAAATGGGTGCAGCTGATGTACTAGTTTTAACTGTGCAAAGGTAGTCCTGCCGAAACCTGGACATCCAGGCTCAGGGACGAATCCAGGAGCTCCCCCGAGCTGCACACCTGTGTTTTCAGAGGGAGTGTAACGTCCTCCAGCACAGGCCGCAACCCTATTCCTTTATTTGCCCTTATCCAGTCCATTACTGACACCAAACACTGATTTAGAACTGAAACAGTTTCCTTGGATTTAGATGGAAAGGAGAGATAGAGTTGAGAGATAGAGTCGGGTGTCATCAGAGTACTGGTGATACCAAACTCCCAAACTCTAGACAACCTCTCCTAGCAATTTTATGTAGATGTTGAATGGCATAGGGGACAAACCAGAACCCTGAAAGACACCACAGGCCAATGGCCAGGATGTCGAACAGGCATCCCCCAGCATCTGGGTTTTCCCCTCCAGGAAGGATCAGAGCCACTGTAAAGCAAGTTCCATCCAAGTTCCATCCCAGACAGATGACCCAGAAGGATACCATGGTTGATGGTATCGAAAGCCACTGAGAGGTCCAGCAGAACCAACAACGACACACTCCTCCCGTCCAGCTTCCAGAACAGATCATCCACCAAGGTGGCCAAAGCAGTCTCTGTCCCATAACCAGGCCTGAAGCCACATTGAAATGGATCTAGATAATCCGTCTCATCCAGGAACCCCTAGAGTTGAGAAGCCACAACCTGCTCCAACACCTTGCCCAATAATGGGATATTAGAGACTGGCAGGTAATTATTCAGTATTGTGGAGTCCAAGGAGATTTTTTTTCAATAATGGTCTTACTATTGCCTCCTTCAAGATGCTGGGATCCTACCCCACTTCAAGGAGGCATTCACTACCTGTTGGACCCACTTGGCCCGTCCCTCTCTGGCGGATTTTATAAGCCAGGTGAGGCAAGGGTTCAGCAGATAAGTGCTGGCTTTCACTTCTCCAAGGGTTCTGTCCACATTATCAGGCTGCAGAAACTTGTGTCCACTGGGTAGTGTTCTAATGCTAAAAATCTACAAATCCGAGAACTCTCGGGGGTTATTGGAAAGGTGGGCATGTGAGAATGTTATGGAAAAAAAACAGCATCAAGGTGGGAAAGGCACCCTTGTGGAGGTTATTTGTAGGAGAATGAGAGGGGGAAAGACTCGTTGAAGCTGAGAGACGCAATGAAGGATCATAATCAACAAATAGCCTGAAAGTCAGAAAATCTGCATTCAGGGTCCCTCTACTGTAAACTGATTAGCTTTCCTATCATCAGGAAAAAGCAATTAAATAAATTAATAATTGTGAAGCTATTGCAGAGGATCCAAGAAAGAAGGCAAGACTAATGGAGACAGAAAGTTACATAGAGAAGCCTCTGTCCTAGCCTTAGTACTGAAATGACAGCCACCAGCAAAGGGTATAAAATGCTCCCAACATTCAGTTGACTCAGGCCCAAAGACTATGTTTCTACAGTGGTGCCTCACTTAGCGATTGCTTCATTTAACGATGTATTCGCTTTGCGATGGGTTTCTTTGAGGAATTTTCCGCATCGTTTAACAATGTTCTCTATGGGGGATTTTCACTTAACGATGTCCGTTTTTGCTCATTTAAAAGTGTCTTAAAATGTTTGAAACCTGTTTTAAATGCTTGGAATAGTTAGTCCACCTTGTGAAACCTTTGCAAACTTAATTTGGCTTTGTTCTGAGTCTTCGTTAATTTTTGGTGAATTTTTTTCCCCCATTGAAAAGCATTGAACGGACAGTTCAATGCGGGGGAAGAAAAATCACCAAAAATTAACGAAGACTCAGAACAAAGCCAAATTAAGTTTGCAAAGGTTTCACAAGGTGGACTAACTATTCCAAGCATTTAAAACAGGTTTCAAACATTTTAAGACACTTTTAAATGAGCAAAAACGGACATCGGAAAGCCATTGAAAATCATTGAGTCGGCTTCAATGATTTTCAGTGGGGGAAACATTGTATCGCTTAGCGATGTTTCCTATGGGGATTTTCGCTTAAGGACGGTAATCCGTTCCCATTGGAATGGATTAACCGGTTTTCAATGCATTGCTATGGGAAATGGTGTCTCGCTTAACAATGTTTTCCTATAGCAACGGTTTTTTTGGAACCAATTAACATCGTTAAGCGAGGCACCACTGTAATTGTTTAGCCAGTTGCAGCTTCCTAATACAGCAAACGGTACAGATGCTCATGACTATTTTTGTGTTAGGCCACTTTTCACATGCCCATGGACTCTCATTATTTGCTTTCTACTTTTGTTCCATTAAGCTTAAGAACTATAACCTCTGCACCAACCTAGATTTCTTTCTGCAGTTTTACCAAGTGAGGAGCCCCATCCAAACAAGAGCCCGTGCAGGGGGACTTACTATAAATTGGATGACTTCTTTTGAGAAACAGTTCGCTGAAGACTGCCTCTTCTAGCTCATTCTAATCTAGCCCAGCAGTGTGTGTCATCTGCACATTTTGCTGAACTGCCCACACTCAGCCTTCACCATGCTGAAAATAGATAGCTTAAACATGGGCCTTCTGTCAGGTTCTAGCCAACCATTTCCTCTTACCAACAAATTCCAGGCAGAACTAAAAAAAAAAAAAAAAAGCCTTCCCACTCAGGGTAAGATTTTGTCAGCAGAGATGACTGCAAAACATTGGGGAAAGTCATAAACTAGATGGGGCCTAATGAAGGGTCAGACATTTATACAGATGACAAACAACTTAGCTTTATATCATCTTGCTATGTTGAGAATAAATCATATAATCCTGAGCCAAATAAAAAGTTATGCAAAAAGTTACACAAATATAAATTTACGCAAAAACCTTTGACTGTGTGGACCACTACAAACTATGGCAAGTTCTTAAAGAAATGGGAGTGCATGGCTACTTTATCTACCTCCTGAGAAATCTGTACATGGGACAGGAAGCAACAGTTAGAACTGGATATGGAACAACTGATTGGTTCAAAATTGGGAAAGGAGTACAACAAGGCTGTATATTGTCTCCCTGCTTATTTAACTTATATGTAGAATACATCATGTGGAAAATGCCGGTCTGGAGGAATCCCAAACCGCAATTAAGATTGCCAGAAGAAATATCAACAACCTCAGATATGCAGACGATACCACTCTGATGGCAGAAAGTGAAGAGGAATTAAAGAAACTCTTAAGGAGGATAAGAGAGCGCAAAAAATGGTCTGAAGCTCAACATTAACAAAAAAAACTAAGATCATGGCCACTGGTCCCATCACCTCTTGGCAAATAGAAGGGGAAGATATGGAGGCAGTGACAGATTTTACCTTCTTGGGCTCCATGATCACTGCAGATGGTGACAGTAGACACGAAATTAAAAGCCTCCTGCTTCTTGGGAGGAAAGCGATGACAAACCTAGACAGCATCTTAAAAAGCGGAGGCATCACCTTGCCGACAAAGGTCTGCATAGTCAAAGCTATGGTTTTTCCAGTAGCGATGTATGGAAGTGAGAGTTGGATCATAAAGAAGGCTGACCGCCAAAGAATTGATGCTTTTGAATTGTGGTGCTGGAGGAGACTCGTGAGAGTCCCCTGGACTGCAAGGAGGACAAACCGATCCATTTTGAAGGAAATCAACCCTGAGTGCTCACTGGAAAGACAGATCCTGAAGCTGAGGCTCCAATACTTTGGCCATCTCAGGAGAAGAGAAGACTC